AATAGTTGAGAACCAAATACTTCCTTTTAACTCTTAACTTTGTTATTTCCTTTTTACTTTACGTAGTATTTAAATCACACTATCACACTATCAACAACAATCTTTACTTTTTCAAGAAGTTGTTTGTGGATCTGCTTCTTACAGAGTTACTATAAAGTCACTCAAAGTTACTCTTACAGAGTTACTAAGATTTCAAAATAAAAGTATAACAAACAAAGAGAAGGTTATTAAAAAGCCCAAGCATATGCTTATATCAAGTTTACAGTTTTCTTGTAAATGTTCATTCCCCATTCATTGCAAGACACTATATAATCAAGCCATGCCAATCTTTTCTCCAATATTTTATCACTGGTATCCAAACTTTTCCTACTTCTTTTAATGACTTATTATTTAGTCTGCATGTAAGTGTATCTAGTTCAATCATATCCAGTAGTTTTATTAGCCACTCTTCGATTGATGGTATTGTTATCCCTTTCCAATATTTAGCTAAGACAATGTGTGGAGATGTAACCATATATAAAATTAATTTCCAATGTTCTTTTTGAATTACTTTGTCTAATACCGATGTCATGTTCAGCAAAAATAATTCAGGTCTCATAGGAATAGATTTCCCTATAATTTGTGTCATTTTAGATTATATTGATTTCCAGTATTTTTTGATAATAGGACAGCTCCACCATAAGTGAAAAAAATGATCCTTGTGTTGCTTTGCATTTCCAACATATTGGGTCCACTGTTTTAGAAGTCATGTACATGTACAGGAGGTTTCAGTTTTAGAAAAACAAATTATTTTCCCCCATAAAGTAGGAAGGTACTGTCCACCAGACCTCCAAGATTTGGGGAAGGGTGTGTATGGCCCCCAGACCTCCAGTCATTGCCCACCTCTGTTTTATGCAATGCAGGAAATATATCTATTAAAGATTGCTTATCCAGGCATACTGCAAGTACTATTTTTTGCTTAAAACACTAAATATAAGGAGGTGCTGCAGTTCAATACAATGTTTCATATAGAAGGATTTATGTGAATTTTGATAGTTTTTTGTTTTTTTAAAAAAACTAACACTTGAGAGAATTTGGCAAACTCTTGACAAACAGCTATAGAGCTATCATTGCATTTATGTATTTGCTGAACATTTTGTATCAGGGGGTTATCTTACACTTGCTTAGAACAACCTGCAAGGAACAAAAAGTAATATCCTGTAACTGGGATCACTAAATGTACAATAAAAGGCCCAGATTACTTAAATGGAAGATTATATGATGATTAAAAACTTAAAGAAAAGCAAAACAGTTTTTTAAAAAAGCAAACACAGCAGAAATAAAATAAAATCATTTATAAAAATAGCTTGTAGAGCCAGATAACGTAGCAATTACTTAACAATTGGAGTTATCATTATGTCCTGAATCCTGCTGACAGCTGCAACTATAGTAGACCCAATAAAGCAGGGGTAGGCAACCTTTCCCCTTTAAGGACTGAGGGACTTCATCTCCCAGAATCCCAGGAGCTATTGGCCAACATGGGACTATTGGCCAACATGGCTGAGGCTTCTGGGAGCTGAAGTCCCTCAGCCCTTAAAGGGGAAAGGTTGCCTACCCCTGCAATAAAGCAACTATTGCACAGTGAGTCAGTATTAACATACATCCCATTGAATCAATATATCTACTCAACTTGAATATAAAATATTTCTCTTCTAATAGAATAAATACCCTTATTCAGTCATAACAATAAATTAGGAGAGAAAAACTCCGAACTTGTAGACTTTCCCAACCTAACCAATGGGAGCCTGGAGTCTCCTTATAGTTTTCCCATTCTGCAAAGTCTCTCTCACATGCATCTTATTCTCCCATGAGTTATTTGTCTTTCCGTTTGAGAAGTAGCCAATGGAGGAAACTAATTATCATCTCTGATTAGTAATAAGAGGCTTTTGCTTCTTTTTAAAACTGTTCACAGTTATATCTAAATTTGGTTACGGTATGTATTAGAGTCAGCATGGCATAGTGGTTTGAGTGTTAGACTACAACTCTGGTGAACCAGGGTTCAACTCCTGCTCAGCCATCAAACCCACTGGGTGATGTTGGGCAAGTCACATGCTCTCAGCCTCAGGGGAAGGCAATGGGAGACTACCTCTGAACAAATCTTGCAAAAAAAAAAAAAACACTCATGATAGGTTTGCCTTAGGATAGCCATAAGTTGGAAACTATTTGAAGGCACACAACACACACACAAATGGGTTATAGAAACAAGCCAACTTTATACCATGGTGTATGAAAATTGCCTGCTTCCATAACTTTGATAAGATTAATGATAGTACAGATTTTGAAAATAGCCCTAAACTGTGGTTAATTGAGATTAAACATGAAAACCTCTAATCTCCACCTTGCAGAGAGAAGAGGGAACATATACAAGCAAAGCTTATGAACATAACAATAAATCACTCTTTGTTGTTACATTTGAGCCAGATCTACATATCCACAGTGCTGCCCAATGTAAAAAAAAAAACACAAAAAAACAACTCAGCGATGCAGTATTGTTGTTAGTTATTGTTGTTGTGTGCCTTCAAGTCATTTCCAATTTATGGTGACCCTAAAGTGAACCTATCATGGAGTTTTCTTGGCAAGATTTGTTCAGAGGGGATTTGTCATTGCCTTCCCCTGGAGCTGAGAACATAAGATTGTTGCTGTACAACACTTTTAATTTCTGTAATATGTACTGAATAGCACTGCAGCAATGATACTGTCAAAAATTATATGAAAGCCCTGAGGAAATAATGTTGTTAGGAAGTGCTAGAGCTCTACACAAAACTAACTTGTAAAAATGGTCAGGGGCAGCATAGTTAATATTAATAGAGAATGTTGCTGCTGCTGCTGCTCCTAATCCAACCAATATTGCTATCATTATATATGTTGTGTAGCAACAATGGTGCTCTGAATACTGGACAACCTACAAAAACAACACACTTCCTGCCTTGAATTTTGTATGGAAGAAAAGAAAGGTACTGAAGGTGCAGATCCTTTACACAGTTACATTAGACATCATTCAGACCATCACAGCTGCATCCTAAGGAATCCTTATATTTTACTTTAGTGAGGTACTTAGCATTAGGGAGCAATAGTGCTCTTTCAAACTATAATTTCCTAGGTACCCGAAAAGAGGTGTGTTATTGTCATGTGCCTTCAAGTAGATTGCATCTTGTGGAAAGCCTATCATTGGGTTTTGTTGGCAAGATTTGTTCAGAGGAGATTTGCCATTGCCTTCCTCTAAGAGTGAGAGAGTATGATTTACCCAGAGTCCTCCAGTAGTTTTCTATGGCTGGGGGGGGATTTGAGCCTCAGTCTCCCAGAGTCCATATAAACCACTCCATCATGCTGAGAAGAGTGACTGAGAATTAAATCAGCTGTCTTTAACAAAAATAGTGACCTGAAGAGACATCTTTGATCTGAAACAGTTTAGGTAAATGAAAGGTAAATCCAGTGCCCTTGGGAGTTTCCACCTCTTGTCATTGCTATGTTCAATGCTCTGAGGAACTCTTCCTCCTTAGAGCTTTCTTATGCCAACATACATACACACAGGATAGCCCTCTCCAGAGGAAGTGAGATTTGAGAAGAGAAGATGCATCATTAAGGGCTGAGGAGAGAGAAAAGTGAAAATAAGAGGCTGATTAAAATTTAACAAGCAGCCAAAGAGTGGAGCCTATAAAAGCAACCTTCCTGAGACAGCTGTGTCATGCAGCTCCATTTGGGATGATGTTGGTATGTATGGCAGCTCAATGAATATGGATCATCATAATGAATAGCCCTTAAAATGACTGCCATGTGACTTCTTATGTTTTGAACTACAGCCTTCACAATCCCTCATCATTGACCATGGTGCCTAAAGTTTCTGTGAGCTGAAATCCAAAACATCTGGGACACTAAAGGTTCCTCAAGCCTGGTTTATGTAATGTTGGAAGCCATCCAAAGTTGTCTTCAGAATATCCTCCTTAATTCCTTTTTTGTTGTTGTTGTAGTTGTTCCTAATGTATGCCAATGAAGTAAAAGTTTTAGTTCCCTGGCCAGGCCTCAGCTCAAAGCACAGTCTGCAATTTTCCACCTGAATGGAGGACATAAACCCCAGAGAGAAATATCTGAAGTACACTAAGACCTGTTCTACAGGGTGGCTTTGAAGGGCTGAATGGTGGAAACTAATGAGGCATAGACAAGAGAAAGAAAGAAACTGTCCATTATAATATGTATATAGTTGTCCCTCCCTGTTTGTGGACTTTAAGTCTGTGGTTTAGGGCAACTGTAATCTTACTTGCCCACATCCTCTAGCTCCTCAAACATTAAGCAAACAGAAGAAGTTGGACTACACCACCTTTTCCAACCTAACACCCTGTAGATGTGTTGGACTACAAGCCCCATCAAAAGACAGCATAGCCAACAGCCAGTGATTTGGGGAAATAGCAATCTAAAACATTTGGAAGGTACCAGATTATACCAAAGGAACAAGGAACACCAAGGAACATTGTTTCCACCTGGATGCATCAGAGGAAGTAGGCTCAAGTCTATGAAAGCTCATGCTACCAACTTCTGTCTTTCATAGTCTTAAAGGAGCTGCAAGATCCCTTTGCATATTGATTTTTCAGACGAACATGGCTATGTCTTTTAATTCTATGGCTGGAAAAGGTGTCCCTGGAATGACTAGAAATAATTTATCCTAGTGTACATGCAAATGCATTCAAACATTATTATTATTATACCACCCCCACCACCCCAATAATGCAAAATATGGGAGATGGTATGGTTAAGTGAGCTGCTTTCTGTTATTTGTATAAACATAATTATTCCCATAATCTCTAAACATTGGCTGCATTGGTAAGGGCTGAGGGTGGTCAGAGTTCAAAATATCTTGAGAGCATCATGTTGGGGAAAACTGAAATACACCAGTAGTGTTTGTGTGTTTCATCTTCATTTAAGCCACTGTTCTTTAACAGAGTATGGGGTGATCTACAGGCATTTTCTGTCAGGGTATGCCAGTTTGCTAAATTGTGACTGGATGAAGGTATAGCAAAGTGGCAGGTGAAGTCCATGATAGTAAGCCAGCTCTGGCAATTAATGATGCAGTTAGCCAATTAGACCAGGTGGTCTGGATAGCCACTTAGCAGAGTATAACTGCATTGGGAGTTTGCTTGAGTGTTAGAGAGTGTATTATTGTCCATGCTGGTCAGAAGCCTGTTGTTTTTTATATTGCTGGGATGTAAGTTTGGTTCATCTTGCTAAGGAGTTATAGTACTGCAGGTTTGCAGGAAGTTATGTTATGCCTTTTTCTGCATTGTATATGTACTTGCCTATTATGCTATGTTTTTGCTTTGCTTATTTTTTGCCTTACACTCTGCTGAAGTAAAGCTCTATATTTGTTGCCTGCACAACTCTGCTGTGATATTTTTCAATACACCCCAACATTTTCTATTTAAGCCCTGATAATAGCCCATGGGGTGTATTTGTTTGTGTGTTGGAATGCTGGGAGATCAGGGTTCAAATATTTGTTCAGCCACAGCAATCCACTGGGTGACCATAAGCAAACCGTACATTCTCAGCCTTGGACAGATATATTGTAATTATTTTAATTTGTAAACCTCATTGAATCCCAGTTTTGGGGAAAATGTACAACATAAATAAATTCAAACAAAAATCCACCAAACAGTGATATTTTTATTGGCCAACTAAAATGCACAATATACTTATTGCAAGCTTTCAAAGCTCCACTGGCTTCTTCATCAGGCAAGATGTTACAAACAAAACAGGAGAAAAACAATTGGAGAGGTTAGTCAGATGCCTGCATTTTGATGTTTCTGTCCTTGGTTAACATGGTTAAGTATCTTTTGCAGGCTGTCCGGATATTGGGAGATTTGCAAAGACCAGGAAATTTAAAGTCCATTTGCTTCTCAACAAGGACCCCTCTCTAGCAATCCAATATGCCTCAATATGAATAAAGGTCCTCATCATCATCTTGTCAAGAAAACCCCTATGACTGTGTTGCCTTAAGTGGAAATCAGCTTGAAGTCACATAACAAGACACAAAAACATAAGATATCAATAGGCTCAGTCTACAAAAGCATATTCTACAAATTTATTTCAGTTAGGCTCCTGTCACACTGCAGAATTAATGCAATTTGACACCGCTTTCACTGTCATGGCTCCGTCCTATGGAATCCTGGGATTTGTAGTTTATTGTGACACCAGAGCTCTCTGACAGAGAAGGCTAAATATCACATAAAACTACAAATCCCATAATTTCATAGCAGTGAGCCTTGGATCATGGCTGTTAGTCTTTATACTAGTGAAGTCAACATACACCGAAGCATTGCTAGTGGCTTCCGCTTACAGTTTTATACTGGGACTTGGGAGACTCAGGTTCAGGTCCTCACCCGGTCATGAAACTCACTGGTTGATCTTAGGCTAATCACATGCTTTCATCTTGACCTACCTCACAAGGTTGTTGTGAAGATGAAATGAGGAGGAAGATTATTGCATATGCTACCTTGAACTCATTGGAGGAAAGATGGTATAGACATATAACAACTAAACAAACATATTGTCTCTCACCTCTGCAAGCCTTTGTTTCTAGCATGACTCTAAAATTTCTCCTGTTATTTTGAAGTAAAGCAAAAGTCCAAACAATTCACAACATGTACAGCATTTATGCCTTTCAAATGAGAAGACATTTCCTTTGAGTTTCAGAATAGTATATTAGGATTACAGCTTCAATTAATTTCATAGAGTGACCAGTTCCCCCTTTACTCACAGTACAGTGCTAGGCTAAAGATAATTACTCAGATTTAATCCCTCAAAATTCAATGAGACTAATTGTTTAGTAAATGTACCTAGGACTGGCCTATGTTTCCCAGTTGTGAAGAATAATATGTGTAGAATAGACTAACATGATGTAGCCTGCAGCATATATATATATATATATATATATATATATATATAGTAATAAAGGTTGTGTTTAGATATTCCAGTGTTCGTAAGTCCCGTATCCAGGTATTACCTCTTTCATTAACTAAGAGTTATAAC